AGCGTGTGTGTCACCTCTCGGGTGACAGTGCATTAAACCCAGTCCGACCTTGTCCTTTTAGGGGTCTTTGAATCAGATTTTTGGGTGAAAGTGTATGTTGACCCTTTGAATCGTTGTGTGAATTCCCTAATCCACATCCCCGATGTATGAGATTGTCGATCAGTTTTCTTTGCCACTTGTGATATTTTCTCGGCATAGCGAGATAGTAGTTCTGTATTAATGTGTAGCGGAGCCTTGAGTTTCGACTGGAGACCGACTCCGTGAAAGGGAAACCGTTATTGAGCCTTTACTTCCTAAACCGTATACGAGATGTTGTTCGTGTCGGAGAGGAGAGAAGCTTTGTCATCGGTATCAAACAGAATCATGTGTTCTGAATGTACCAGGTTTGAGTATAAGTGATGTTAGTTTGTCCTATCATGATGTCTCGACCAAGTCAATAGCTTAGTCTGATGGTTGACTCCACCACCCGGACTTGCGGGGATGCATGACACGTTCTAGCCTCGTGATGGAGGGAATGTGTGCGTGATCTCGAGGTATATGTGAATTGTAACGAGCTGCGTGATAGGCAGAACCCTACCTGTATGGAGGTACCGGAGACCTGTTGGGACCGTGGGACCATCAGGGAAAGACCGGGAGGGGTACTCGTCAAAGTCCAGTGGTTGTAGTCAAGTCGAGGGCGAGACGACTTGGCAGTGGGAAACCGAGATTCGGAGGGAGTACCGAACACCTTGTGTTGATATTCCCCTTGTATTTTGGTTGTTTTTGTTTTCGAATTCCGAGGACGGAATTCTTTGTAAGGTGGGTAAACTGTAACGCCCCGTTCGTTTATGAATTATTTAGGTTTTATTTTGATGTATTATTATTATTATTATTATTATTATTATTATTATTATTATTATTATTATTATTATTATTATTATTGTTGTTGTTGTTGTTGTTGCTATTAAATGTCAATTTGCTATTATTTGTTGTTATTAGATTGTCTTATTGTTATTATATAATTAAGTAAATTATGTGTATTATATATGTAAATATTAATGTCCTGTTTTATTTTGTTTAATTATCGTCCGATTATGCTGACACCTTAGCCGACCCGTGAACCCAATTTTCCCTTATTTTTTTTTTCCGTGCGTGTGAAATTTGAGTGCGTGTGTCTTCTTGGACGTCAAGAAGATAAAACCTAATATTTGCACATATATATACAACCTTGTATCTATATTTTTTCTCGTCAAAAATCATACCTCCCGCAGCCTCTCCTTTAATCCTTTTCTCATCATATCTCGCTCCCTCACTCTCTCCC